AGCATGTTTTGTTTTCAAATGATTGGCAAATTACAGCTCAGGAGGCAATTTTACTCAAGGGCTGAAGAGGCAGAGCTGGAAGCAAGAAAATCATTTTCCTCTTTTGTTTTTATAATCATATGTGTCTTGTGAATATGCATTGAGTATGCATTTGGGTCATCATTTGGGGCATATTTTCCGGGGTATTCTCCAGGCATGTTCTTGCCCGACACGGCAGCGTAGGCGAACCCGCTGCAGCCTTATCTGCTCTCTCCTGCTGTCTTATCTCTGGAGGATCTGTTTTGCAGGAGACTTCACTCCTTCCCTCCACTGCCTGGATCGGACAAAGTCGTTTTTGCCAAAACACTGGGAGGAATCAGTGGAGGGGTGCTGGCAGAGTGGGTTTTTCCAGTGGTGCGTTGCTTGCAGGAACCTGTCTGCAATGGCTAGGCTGTTATGCACATTCCTCATTTCTTGCATAGGTTGATACTAGTTAAGCACAGCAATTATTACGGTGAGAGGTGCTCAAGGAAGCCCATTTTCATTTCATGAGTTACCTCAGTTTAGATATACCCAAACGCCCTGCAACATCCGTGTAGAAATCACTATTTAATGAGGTCAGTCAGTGAATTGCAATCTGCTCTTCATAAAACCAATGGAAAGTGCAGCTACTGTGATTGCACTATACACGCAGCATGGTGCAGGCCTATCATGAAAAGACATTACCCATCTTTAATCTGCAAGGGACCATTATTTTCATTATTGCTGTATCACCTGCTAGTGTTGCTATAGTTAATGTCTATTAGTGACATGTTTCTGTTATTAACTTCTGTTCCTAGCAGTTTATAGCTTGGCAATCACTGTAGTCTTTGTGAGGGTTTTAAGGTTGCATATAAGAGTGGCAGCCTGGAAGCATTTTTATTTCTTAAATTCTATATTTTGTCAGTGCTATAAATGTACCTCAGTAAATAATTTCAGAAAGTGTCTTACTTTAAGCATGAAGATTTTAAACTATTAGGGCATTTGTTCCATCCTTTTTTTTCCCACTGTTTATAGCAACAACGTTTCAAGATACCTGGATGAGTTGTAAAGGGAAGGAAAAGGGACAGCGGTGTCTGCCAACACCAGTTTTCAACTCCTCCCAGTCCTGAAATTGGAGCCTGGTTCCCTAGTGCCCACCTCGAGTTGGCAGGGAAGGAAAAGTTGCTCCAGGAGGTAATTCAGAGGATCTTAACAGACTTCAGATCTGAACTGTCTTTTGGAGCACTTGATCTCCAGTGCTGAAGGAGCCAAGGGACACCAGCTGCCTAATTTACGTGCCTTTAAATGTCATTAGTCTGCCTCTTGCTACTGTAAAGCCTAGGTGAGAAGCAGAGGGAAAAAATGCTCTCCATTTCCTAGATGAAGAGAAAGAGTATCTTAGTCCCACTGGGCTGGATGATAATTTTTTCCACAGGCTGTAACTTCACAGCACCTCCTGTGATACCATACCAGGCAGGCACCTGAATTTGGAGGGAACAGGCCCAAAGAACAGCATCTTCCATGTGAAAAGGGGGCTATTTCCCGCAAACAAGTGACGTCCTTGGGTTTGCTGGCAGGGGACAGCCCCATATGAGAGCAGCTCAGCTCTCCATTGCACGGGCTGTCACAGGGAGCTGGCAGGAGGAATGAAATGAGGGACTGAATGCTTGTTCCTTGGCTGTCCTGGACCCATCTGCGTGGGGCAGATTAATTTTCCCAAATTTCTGGGGTGTTAAGTGAGGAGGAACAGAGCAAGAGTGTCCCACTCCCTCATGTCTGCCCACTTAATTTACTGGCAGAATTTAGACTCAGCTATGGCACTGTTCTTCACAGGTTAGTTCTGGAAAAAGAGAGGGAGAGAAACGAAAAGCCAGTCTAACACAGAAAGTTGATAGCGAAGTTCATAATTAGGAGAACAGATGTCAAATTTTTCAAGGTTGTTTTACCTTGACTGTATGTCACCAACCTTGAACACCTTAAAAAAGAGCAAGTGTGGGTGTTCAGCAGAGACAGATGCCCCCAATTACTAGTTATCCATGCTTAAAAGAAAACGATATAGATTTTGCTGCTTTACAGATTTCACTGGTAGGGTTACTTGTCAGAGGAAGTACATATGCATAGTACTAATGTTAGCAATGAGTGGGATTTACAAATGACATTTATCTCCAACGTTCATGGAATAATAGCTGGAGGAGTGAAGGACTAAGGAGCATTTCTTTGGCTATTTCATTACCCTGATACTGCCAAGAGCTGCAGCACCCAATCTATGGCTCATGCATTCTGCACTGTGAGGAATTAGTGAGGAGTTACGTATACAGCTATATATAAATATGTGTGTGTGTGTGTGTGTACTCAGTCATAAATTGAAAGCATTTCTCCTGATTGCCCCTGAGTCATTGCAGCAATCCCTTTTAGTGTGGCTAAAAATACAAGCGTGGTGTCAGGGAGCAGCAAGGGCCAGTGGCTCCCGAGGGGAGGTTGGGACAGGACCAGGGGGGACCCAGTGCTGGGCATGGGGGCTCAGCGCGGCAAGCAGAGCCACGACTGCTATTGAGGCCCATCAGCAGCCCTGGGCAAGGCAGCGATGAACCAGGGAGCATCCAAGGAGGGACATGAGCAAGGGGAGATGAGGCATGCGGGACTGCAAGCTGAAGTGCTATTAGATTGCAGAGTGCTACGTGCGCATGCTGTGGCCCCTGGGAAAGCAGCCTTGGGGGTTCATACTTCATTAGGCAGCAGAAATTACAGCCACTGGTGGTTATAAAGCCACGGAAAAGCAACCTCACTCAGCTCTGCTCCTCTAACCTATTTAATTTGGGTCTGGCTGCTGTTTTCATGTGAAGTGTTTGAAATCAGCTTCATCACTGCAGCAAAGAATATTATCTCACAGTGTTTTCCAGCTAGTCCCAAGAATAACTCTGATGTCAGCAGGGAGCCCTCTCTCTGGCAGCCCTCACTGCTCTGCCAGCTGCCCAGAGAAAAGGTCAGTGAGCTCCTCGAGCTCATCAGGCAGACCCAACCCATGTAGTGCCCTGTTCGCACCCAAACACCCCAAGCAAAACTCCCCCAGGAGAAACCAGCCCCCCAGTTCCTAGATCTCACACAGGTTTGAACTTGCCCTAAATGATCTCCGCTTGAGGAACTATATTCCTGCTGGGAGAGTGTCAGCGCCTGGTGGTCCAGCCACCCTTTTCCACCATGTCCCTTCTCCAGTTGAAATACAGCTAAAATTCCTTCCCTTTAAATCACTAGTCTCTCAAGAACACATAAAAGTGTGAGGTTACCAAGCAGAGCCCACCCAAGAACCCAGCCCTGAGTTAGCAATACGAGCAAACCTCATTCATATCACTAACCACAATGACCATTTTGCCTCAGTAAAGATGGAGTTAGGACTTCAGAGTCTGGCCCAGATCCTAGAGTATATAAATAGATTTCTATGAATCAAAGCTCCATTATGTAAGACATAAAAATAAGGGAACAAATGAGAGGAAAAATAAGCTGAAGATCAGAGTCTGCAATGAAGCATCAGCTGAAGATTTTTGGGCACTGAGTCAAGACACAAATCTTTTCTTTTTTTTTTCACTTATTTTGCCTGCTTTGCTTTACAAGTGACTCATTCACTCACTCCCCCTTTCACCACCACTTCCCATGTTGTTTCAGGCATGTCTGTACATTTTAGCATTTACAGGTCCATCCAAACTACCTGTTTATCCACTGTTCGTCTACATTTGCACTTCCAAATTAGATGGGGAAAAGGGATGTGCACATATTTTAAATAAATAAATAAACAAACAAATAAATAAAAAGCCTCAGACCTGCAGGCAAGGTTAAAAGAATCCGGGTGCGATGCATGCGGCAGTTTACAATGAATTGAAATGTGACTAAAGGCAGCATGTGACAGCTTTCTATACTTAGCAGTGGCTTTTGCTTTTACACGCTTCAAGATACACTGTCAAAAAAAGCATCTATGTCTGAGCATTTCAGCAGAAGAGTGAGAGCCCCTGAAGGTGTAGGAAATCTCCCACAATGGCTGTGTGTATGTTGCCACATGGACACTTGTTTGTGTACATTACAGGCTTGCCTCACTCCCCACCTCTGGGACACTCTTATAGAGTCTTTGCTCTGACCATAGAATATTTTCAGCTGAGGTGGCACAGTCATTTCATCCTTGGATCTTCTTGGTATGCTTTTTCCACAAGCCATTTAAAGAGGAGGGTTGGAGAGCAAACCATTGTACCCCTGGTAAACATGTTGTGCCTGTCATCCCCTTGAGAGATGAGGTACATATGACATTGGCTTTTTTCTTTTTTTTTTTTTTTTTTTTTTTCTCTTTCAATTTAGATGAGTTTGCAGAGTCAAATGGGTGATGAGTGTGCATTTTGTACAAGGTTATAAAGCAAAGTCACGCTGAACATAAATTGGCCTTAAGTCATTTATTGCAGCTTTTCTCCAGGATTTGGTAGATAAAAGGTTATTTTCACACGTGCACTTGTATTACATGCATCCTTTTAGCCTTATAAATAGTTACAGAAAATGATACTTTCTTTCACACTCCCCTTTTCAGGCTGTTCAAAACCTTGCCTGACTGCATTTAAAGATGGCTTAGAGACATTTAGATGACATAGTGATGCATGCACATAAGAACATGAACAGTACCAAAAGCCTAGCTGGAATAGGCATTTAAGCATTCCCAGGATTCCAGATTTCCATAAATAACAAAAATTAACCTCATGACTATTTTTATGCAATAGCAACTACAATGGCCTTTTCTTTCCCCCACCCCACCAAGTGCAATATAAATATTCAGACAACATTCGGGGGACAGCATCCCTGTTAGCAACAGATTTCACATGCACAATGGGTATCACGTAAGTGTACCGGGAAACAGCCACCAAAATGCCTCGCTCTAACCCATTGCTGTTCCATATAGGCCTCTCCATGAGGCAATTTGTAAAACAAAGGTAAGATTTGTTTTATGAAAAGCTCTACACACTGTTAGACCTGAAAAGGACGTCCACCTGGCATTGAACTTATGTCAGCCTTGAAACTGTACAACAGCAGTATTGGAAAGATGCCTTCTACATAGGCCAGGAAGGGGATAAAATACTCATCCTCCAGTTCTTGCAGAGATTCTTGGTCCACAGCCCAATTGTAGACCTATTCTCTGTGTTTCTAGGATTTGGACATAGTATTTTGTGTGCTGCCATAGCAACTGATGCTCACATGTCTGCTAGCAGATGGCAGTTCCAGGAAGGAGGCCTGAAAATGTCTGTGCAATAATCTTTGCATCCCTTGGACATTTCAGAAACACTGTACCTCCCAGGCTTCTCCTTCTGCAGTCTTGTTTATCATCGGACGTCAGCATGTAACTTCAGGAGGTAAAATCAGGGCATAGAGGAAACTGCAGACCAGCAAGATGGATAGTTGAACTGGACAAACTTTTTAAAAGCATAGGGCTAGTAGATACACGGAAAAATATGATATAACAAAGAAGAGTCATAATAGCTGTTGTACAGGGTTGCCTTGTCTCATGAATTCACTAGATTTTTTTAAAGGAGGTAATGAGAATGTAGGTGTGGTTCATTTGGTTCATACAGTAGACATGGATTTCATTCGACATCTTTAACAATATCCCTTACCAAGAGCTCTTAAGGATGGTAAAACAGGAGGAGATTTCTCTCATGGTTTAAAGTTAAAGGAAAATAAGGGTAGGAATAAATCTTCGATTCCTGTGGAGAAGTGCTCTGCATCTGTGTTGTTACACATATTCATTAACCACCTGCAGAAGGCAATGGACAGTAAGATGATGAAGTTTGTTGATCATACTAAGTCATTAAAGTCGTAAAAATGAGTGATGACTGTGCAAAATCACAGAGTAACTTCATGATTCAAAGCAACAGGGCAATAAGACATCAGGTGAAAATCGGTACTGTGCACACATCTATGTGCACAGGAAAAAGCAACCCTAACTTCAGGGAGCTAGTGGTGGATTTTGAGTTATTTCCACCCAGAAAAGTAATCCTGAGGTTAAAATAATCTGTTCTATAAAGACATTACCTCAGAGGCTGGCAGCACTACAAGAACAAACAGCATCTTAAAAATTATTGGGAAAGGGATAGATAAAAATATGTATGCATATATTGTTGTCCTCATATTCCAAATCCTCTATAGAGTTTCAATTCCTTATCTCAAAATATATGGTATAGCTACAAGGTATAAAGGTATAGGTACAAAGAAGAACAAGAGCAATTAATAGTGCCACTGAAAAAAAAAATCAAGTATATTAACAGCCTAGAATTTTCTCACCTAGAGAGAGATGACTGAGGAGGATGACTGTGATTTAGGAAATCTTGAAAGTCATGAAGAAGTTGAACAAGGAATAATTATTCACTATTTGCTAAACTATGGGAAATAAACAGCCTCCAAAGAAAGGTGGAACTTTTCCACAAAACAAAAGATATATTGAGGAATTCAGTGCCACAGGATGCTGTACATCCCACAGGTTTGCAAGGGTTTTAAAAAGCAGTTAGACAAAGTTAGAGGAAGAGTTCATTAAGAGCTATTATGCACAAAGCACTCACCTCTGGCTTGGGAAGTTTCTAGGTTAGAGATTGCTAGAAGCAATGGGAATATGCCTGAATCACTGTCATCATGTTCTCATTTTCCTATCTCCTACCAGTCAGCTGTCAGAAACAGGGTACTGAGGTAGCTGAGCCTTCAGCCTGAGCAAAGTCTTCTCATAGCACATCATGTGAGCAATAGGAACTGCTCCCACCCTACACTAGTTGTGAGGCAATACGGTGATTTTCAAAGAAAGATAATCTACATCAGCTGCTTCAAATTTACCATAAATTTATAATAGCCCACCCACAGTTATTGTACCACCCCATCCCTCCCTGGCATTACATGCTCTTTTACTCTGCAGATTGGAGAGAAAAAAAAAAAAAAAAAAAAAAAAAAGAGAGAGAGAGAAGTCTTTTGAATAGGTTTAAACAAAAGAATATTTGGTCCACAACTTCTAGAAAATGACTTGACCTTATTCTCTTTTTATTTCCCCAGGTTTTAGTCTCTTTTTCTTATTTCTCCTGAATTGTCAACAGTAGTGCTTCTTTTGTAGAGGAAAATGAAGCTGTGCTGATTTGACACTCCCCAGCCTATTAGCTCTTCAGCTGGTCTCATGTAAGAAATGGCTGCCGTTTTGTTGGAGCTTTTCCACTGGAATAATGAAGGGTCAGACTCTGAAAACTTTATTCACCCTGCATAGCTACTCACTCAGATACTAGACACGCTGCAATCACTGCAGCTGCTTACCAGATTAAAAATTACAAGGCTAATGAGAATCTGCCCCTAATGTGCCAAGTCTCTCCTTAAGAGTCAAATTTGGTTCATCTTACTTCAGCTGCTGCCCCATTAAAGCCTTAAAGAGAACTCATAAATATAAAAATACCCAAGAGCACGGCAGAAAATCCTGCCCTGAATAATTGTACTGAAATGTTCTAAAAGGAACTTAATTTCCTTCTCGGTAGCTTCAGTAACACTTTGAAGAGAGAATGAAGGTGAGGACATGCATTACATTCTGCAGAGGTAAGAAAAGAAACCTTTTTGCAAGGAACCAGGGGAGCATAACTAAAAGGGCTTATATCTGTGAAAATATGACCTCTGATTTTGCCAAGGTCAGTAAAACCTACTGTGATTCGCTTTGTAAGTGTCGGTCACACAAGTTAAAGCTGCCTCAAGGCAACTTTAATTTCTGTACTCAAATGCAACAAGACACGATGTTTCTGAAATGTTAGCAAAAACCTCCTCTGTGTGGAAGAGCAAGATTATCTGGTCCTACATTTGTTTATGGTTATTTATGGATCCAAAACAACTCAGTGTCTCCTCTGTGAATTCATATGGAATGACAGATCAAAAAACCATTCAGTTCTGTTAATCTAACATGAAACAGGCTTCTTAATTTGAATTTCCCGGCGCACGCTATTTGTGGGTAGGTGCTGTTCTTCTGTTAGCCTCAGTGGTAATACCCACCAGATGATCCTCACATCCCACAGGCCTGTGGTGCCATTTATTGAGATAATCTGTTATAACTTTTGGTAACGCTGCTTGCTGTGTATTTCTTGGGTGAAAGCTGAGAAGAAGAGGGGAAGAGTCTTGCACTCTGCCCTGAATGTCTTTATAAGGCTGCTCAGAGGCTGCACCCCGTAATGGCCATTTTTGGAGTTGGAGATGGGCACACGGGGTCACACTATTACCCATCCCATCAAACATTCCTGATCCTTAGTGTCAGAAAAATAAGCTCCCAGCATCCACTGCACTCATGTTCACATGGGATTTCTTTGTTGTGCTAGGAATAGGAGGACTTCCATAGAAGGTTAAAGCATTTTGTGTCCTTCCTGGCACTGGGCAATTCTAGATGTGTCTGAAAAAAGGTGCCAGCATTTTATTAAGCAGTTGAGGAGTAGTGTATTCTCCAAAATGGTTTCCTCTTTATCTTCACCAGGAAAATAAACTGTCTTATCACCTGTGATGTTTTTATTTTCCTTCAATTTTCTGTTTATCGCACTTAGAATAACAATAAATATTTTATTGATGTAAATGTCTAAACACTAAAAACACCTAATAGTTCCTTGCCTTTCTCATATCTTGTGGCAATGAACTCAACAGACTGCTGAAAAACTATTTACCATTCATTTACTGGAAATGGTTATCTTTCAGTTTCATTTCATTTTTAACTGAGACAGGTCTACAGTCATTGTCTGCTTGCCATAGGATGCTCTTCTGTGTCCCCTTTTAGTCACCTCCTGTCTAGCTAAGCAAGTCCCAATATTCTGATCACTTTCCATTGAGAAGTCTCCCTTTACTCGAGTTGTTTTACCACCAGGTTTCTGTATCCTCTTTAGGGAAAGTGGCCTACAACTGAAGTGAGCATACCTTGCAGGCTGTGTTACGTTATAATGCCATTGCAGAAGCTGCTGGGATTTAAATAACATCTTCTTACTCATTTTTAATTTGCACTAAGCATCTGGTTTGTTTTCTAAAGATATGATATGTTGTGTAGCGTCCTTGATTTTGCTCTTCATGATCTCACAAATCTTTCTGTCTCTTTTGGAAAGCCCTAGTCCAAGCACTGAGCAGGTGCATGAGAGAAACCATACGGCACATGTAGCTGGCTGCTGCGCCCTGTGTGTGCCATGGACTGGGGACGCAGCTATGCTTGGCATGAAACCTCCACCACCAAGCAACAGCGGGAAAGGGGCATGCTTATGAGTCAAAAACCAGGGAGAGCAGTAAAACTATATGGCCCTAGCAGCGTGAAGAGTGAATGTTGGCCTCCCATGTAGTGGGTACTTAACCCTCCAAAAGTGTTACAGACTTAACCCTCCTGACTTGTGACACCAACACCATCAGCAGCATGGCTTCCCTACAGCCACACACTCCATCTTGTTAGGCCTCTTTGCAGTCCCTCTCGATTCACGAACCAATTACAGGCTGTGTACAGCTTTGTGGCTGCAGTGGTTTCCCCTCCTTTCCAGACTGACGCATTTCAAACACTTGCTCTAGATAAGGTGCTTGAAGCTGCTCCTCATTAGCACCAAACCATGCTGAGAATCACCAGCCTGCCTCTGATGTTTGCTTTTTGCCCATCAAATATGATTCTCCTCACCCTCTGACTATTTACTCTAGAAGTTTTTAAGTTTATAGCTTTTTGGGTTTTTTTCTTTGGCAGAGACTTTGTCAAAGGCTTCCTTATAGCCCAGAAACTCAGAATTTTCTGGGTCTCTGTAGAGTAACCAGGACCTTGACTGCACCTCCAGGCCTTCGTAGCATTTTCATATTTTCTTCTTGTTCTAAATAATTCCTGCTTTTCCACTTGAGTTCTCTTTATATTCAGATGAAGAAACAATGCAAAATTATTTCACAGGAGAGAAAAGGTACGCAGCGTAGTGAGATGAGATAAGGAATATGATTATGCAGGAATCCTGGGAAACTTGAATTGTAGGAGAGTCATCTCATCTCCTGCTCAGGAATGTCTTATGCTGATGGGTGCAACCCTTTCCCAGTGACTGTGAAAATCATGATAAGGAAAGTGATGAGACACTCAGTGCAGCTAGAGCTCCAAGACTTGGGTTTGCCCTCCCACGCATTTTGGGTGGGCAGGCAAACCACAGACTGTCATCTGTGAAGTCAGAAAGCATTGGGTACATTTAATTACTACATTAGGACTTGCTAACACTTTCTATGCCAAGAATTGGTTGCGGAGACTTTTGGGGTTGTTGTTGTTATTAGCACTTTGTTTTTACCATGACAAAACTATTGGGGTAGGAGCTCACACATCTGAGAGCTTGAGTCAGCCCATTAATAGGCAGCTACTGCAATAAACAAGTCAGGAAATAACTGAGGCAAAGCAAAGAGCTGAGTGGCTTTGGTTTATTCTCATTCTTCTCTTGCCCTTGTTTCTTACTTTCTTTTCCCACTCAAAAGGTTTTCCCTTGACAATTTTCTATTTTCCATGATCTTCATTCTTAAGAAGAAAATAAGGTAAATAAAGGCATTTCTGTTTAAAAAAAAAAAAAAAAAGTGAAATGAAACAATTGGGATCTAGGCACCACAGAAATTTCCTTGGAGAATCTGGCATGACAGTTCATTTAGAAAAGGTCTATAGGCTCCTTGCTGCACATCCCATTTATCAACAGTGCCCACAGCTGCATCATTTCGCCCACAGCTTCGTTCCCCTCCTCTCCAGAAAACACAAGGAGCGAGCTAAAACCAGCAGCAGCCAATTCCTGACTCCCATCTTTCCAGCAGATGCCCGGCAGCACAACACTGCATGATGGCACAACAGCAGCTCGGAGAGTGGCCCCACCGTCCCAAGGAGAGGACAAGTGACGGCAGGTCCTTGCTGTTGTTACAAATCATCTGATTCATGCTGTGCCCTGGGCCCTCCCTTGGGGAAGCAGACAGCCAAGGTCAAGCTGTGTGAGATGCTCTGGTTGGGAGCAGCTCTCTCCCAAAGCCCTCCTCCCCCAGGATACACACGGGTTGAGCAGGATGACCCCAGCACTGCGTGCTCGGTGCCTCCAGGAGGTTTGCCAGGATGGATGCAACAGGAGTGCTGCCTGCCACAACAATAAGTCACACGGCCTCCTGAGCTGAACAGTTTGGGCGCTGCTCCTTTCCACGAGAAGGGGAAATTATAATCTCGCTTGGCAGTTTCACTCAGTACATCGAGGGAGGCGTTCACAAGGGCTATGTAACTGTTCTGGTATGATCTAGTTAAATATTTCAGTAGGCAAATACATGACCCATAACAAGCTCTGTGACCGATTTGGGAAGTTTCGGTTATTTTTCCGCAGTGGGATATGTGAAATGAGTCACTGCAAGGTCACTGTTGCTTGATGCTAAGGCATTGGTGACCAAAATAATAAAAAAAAAGGGCAGTTCAGAGCACGTTTGTTAGTCAGCATTTCCTTCCTGATCCCACGACAGCACCCAAGCCATGCACATGGCAGGGCTGCGTTCAGGCCTCCCCGTTCACCTCTACCTTCTGCTCTCCAGAGCAGAGTCAACATGTGGGTGCCACATGTACGGCTGCTGTCACCCACCACCTGCCTCCAGCCAGGGAAATGGCCTGATACTGAGCAGCTTCTCAAAACATGCTCAGGCTTGCAGGATCCGGCTCGTCTTTCCCACCTTGGCTCTCAATTTTGTGTTGAATCATAGGCACAAGGTTGCAGGGTTCATTGTTCAAAGCAAGTTTAAAATACGACACAGGTTTAAATTCTCCTCTTCTGTTTTCACCCTGATC